AGTTTGCTCCATAGACTATATGGAGGCACCCTTTGGTTTCTGAACACCATGTTTTTTGCTTTGCCTATAGTATTTTGACCACCAAGATGTTGTATATTTTGGAGACAAAAGCTTTACAGTTGTGTGAAAAAGTGTTTGCCCCCCTTTCTGAGTTCATATTTTTTGTATGTTTGTCACACTTAAATGTTTCAGATCATCAAAGAAATTTAAATATTAGACAAAAATACCACGAATAAACACAAAATACAATTTATAAATGAAGGTGTAGGCCACTCCAGAGTCTTCATTTTGTTTTTCTTAAGTCATTCAGAAGTGGACTTGCTGGTGTGTTTTGGATCATTGTCCTTTTGCAGAACCCAGGTGCACTTTAGTTTGAGGTCACAAACAGATGGCCAGACATTGTCCTTCAGGATGTTTTTGGTAGAGAACAGAATTCATGGTCTATTTACCACAGCAAGTCTTCCACTTCCTGAGGCAGCAAAACAGACCATCACACTACCACCACCATGTTTTACTGTTGGTTTGATGTTCGTTTTCTGAAATGCTGTGTTACCTTTACACCAGATATAATTGGACACACGCCTTCCAAAAAGTTCAACTTTTGTCTCGTCAGTTTCCCAAAACTCCTGGGGATCATCAAGATGTTTTCTAGCAAAACGAAATGTTTATGTTGCTTCAGCTCAGCAGTGGTTTTCGTCTTGGAGCAGGCCATTTTTGCCCAGTCTCCTTCTTCTGTTGGAGTCACTTACCTTAACCGAGGCAAGTGAGGGCTGCAGTTATTTGGATGTTGTTCTGTGGTTAAAAGTAGAGCTTTTTTTCCAATAAGTTGAATACCTACCATGACTACTCCCTCCCGCCCTGAGTTTCAGTCAAATCTCACCAATAATCTAGAAGGAGTAGCAATTCTTGCAGATCTTAGACTTCCACTGAATAAGCTCATCGGTCCTTTGATTGAATGAGCTAAAGAAATCACAGTTTGTGTTGTTTTTGATGGATCCCTCTGCCAATCATCTGTCGGTGCATGTGTTCCCACTGTATCACAGCACCTAGCA